ATATATCGATACTTGCTACATTCCTCAAACATTCAGTTTTCATATGCATCTTTTGAATTAATTCTATGTATTACAGTTTTCGAGTAAATCAATGAAATGTAAAAACACTGCTTTTTCGAAGGTTCATTTTTTCAACTTTTAACGCGTATTACAGCAATATGGATAAGAGCACAGTAATGTATCTATACTTTAGCAGATATTAGGAAAATTGCTCACTGCTCATTAAATTATAAATACATGATTATATAAGGTTACATAAAGTTTTGGATTAAGTTTTATTAAATAAATTGGATTATCATTGTAGGTTAGAATAAATTAATTTTAGGTTATGTAAAATTGCTTTTTAAACATAGATTTTAGATCGTTTTTTTTAATGTTGATTTGATTTATTTTAAATATTTAGTTAAGAATGTAGAATTTAGTAATTTAATTATTTTAGAATCTAAAGAAACGAGTGCGCAAACCTGCAGAATGTTGTTTCTACCCATATAATAGAAAGCAACATTGGTTTATTGTGGGTTAACAGTTTATTACTTGTAAGAATTTAATTTACTGTTGGACATTATTGATGGACATTAATAAGGATATTTGCTACAAAATACTTGACAAGTGACATGTAGTGTAAATTCAGTTATGTGAAAACTTGTTGTAATTTGTTATTCAATTTAAGTACTAGTTTAAGTTATATAATTTACATATTTTTTATAAAAATACTTATATTTCAAATTACAAATCACTGACAAACAAAAGCATTGATGATGACTAATCTTTGTATGGATGTTCTATTAAATAGTGACCTCAGGTGTACTTACACATAATTGTTCCAAAGTGCAACTTATGAAGCAAAAACTAACGATTTAACAAGCAATAATTTAAATATTATGTTTTATTTGTCTTGTATACGTAGAAATTGTTCCGAGTCAAGGGTACATTAGTTTTAAGCAGAAAGCGTATGCATCTAACTGTTGTTCCTATTCCATTCATCGGCCAACCATTTTCTCTGACGCACATTGCGGAACAATTGTTGCCTTTTTTGTTTTGACGCAATCGCGTTTCATTTGCACCGTGCAAAGGAATTCCAATTGTTGTTTGCAGTCGTCGGCATGAAATTCTCGCTGACGAGATGTTTTCTTTCGATACCTCTACTAAATTGGGCTACAAACAAAATTGGAATTCTCGTCGAAATTAGATTATAGAGGAAGAAAAAAAAAAGGAATGAATAGATTGATGCTGGATTTCTCTATTGGCGCCGTCAATGTTGAAGCAGAACGGATTGGATTCTGTTTGATGTGGACGAATTTAATTGGAGTAGTTAGTTACTTAGTTAGTTAGTATGCGGAGAAAACGGCTCCGAGTTTGAATGTGCGTAGAGTACGGTAATTGCGATGATAAATTGCACGCTCTATAAATAGAATACATGTGTCTATGTATCGTGTATAACGAAACTCGTTTTATGTGTGTACGTATACATGTACGTATATAGCGACATTGCGTAAGGAAAACCTCTTACGTCGGTCACCAGGTGTACCTTTATACGGATGTCAACAGCCTCTCTCTATCGCAGGAATGGAGAAAACAGATCATCAAGATGATGATGTCTAAAATTTGCACTTGTAATTCAACAACTTAGTCACATCTGTATCTCTTTATTTTTTCAATAAGTCCATTTGAAATTTTATGTACCAGGCTTAACGAGCAAAATGAATTGTAAGAAAAATGACTCGCTTAACGAGCGACGTTTTGCATAACGACTGACGTTGAGAAGAGAAGTCCCGGATTGCGCGCCTGCTGCATCATTTTTAAAACTTGTGTACTTCTGAATATGATTCACTATACGAGTAAAAATCCGAAAATTTTTGAAAGGATTAAACTCGTTAAGCGAGGTTCCACTCTATTCTTGGATAATTGGAAATCTAACGTTTTTCTTTAGAAAATTGTTTAAATTTGACATATTTCCACACAACACATTACACATTTTTTTTATTACTTATTAAACAAACTTTTCATGATGATATTTCATTGAACGATTTGAATGCAAAAGCTGACTCAATTGCATTAGTAACAAAATGTGTATGCTGTTTACAGATTAAGAAGGAAAAAGTACTTTTTATTACCTTGTTGTTTCCCCTAATTGTGATAAATTACGGCTTTTTTTTACTAAGAATTGTTCACAATCATTATAATGTACTTTAATTGTTTTGCATTTTCTATCTTACTTTTAATGTTGCATTCATGTACTAATCTACATATTTAAAGATTTATTAGAAATAGTTTGACATATATATTTAAAGTGCTTTTTGATTATTTATACTTCTTGGATGAAATATTGAAATAATTGCAATTATTGCTTGATTAATATAGTGGAAATATTACCTTTATATAAGTTTCTCAAATTATTAAAAATCTAAACAAATTTGAATGAAAATATATCGAATTTTCTATTATTTTAGGTATTTTTTTAAGATATTTTATCAACAATTATTGACATTGAATAAATTTGTATAGAATTATTTAAAGTTGTTCCAATTATACTAAAATACATATATTTGTGGTTATATAGATTATGTAGAAATATTACTTTTTTATTATCCTGTTTTTGTTCAATTTATATTAATGATTTTTTTTTCTAATTACACTATTTTTTTTAATCAATGTTTTATGATTGTGAATTTTTATACCCTTTATAGAAACTATGGAATAATTTCATAAACAACAGTACGATTGTAGAATTATTGAATTAAAATCTAATTTCGTCTTAGATTCAATATAAATAATTAACTTTTTTAATCTGTTAAAGTTACTCAATCAACTTAATTCATTAAATCTTATAGACCTTTATTTGATCTGTAAATCAATTTTGATTAAGAAAATCCGTTAAAATTATACGTTTTCTTTAATTATGTATAAATACTTACAATTTATGCAATGAAAAATGACTTTTTAAATGGTTATTTTTTGTTTATATCTATATTTTATCCGTTAAAATTTATTTTTTTTATTTATAATTACTTTAAAATTCTTAATTAGCAATGAAATTTAATTTCTATAAAATACCAATTTTCTCAAAAAAAAAAAAATACGTCGAAGAACAGTTTACCTATTAAGTACGGTTTAATTGTCGTGAATTTTCCATTTACCTTTCACAAAATCGTTTAAGCAATGATTCAAATTTTATTGAAATAAAATGTTTAATCTCTTTAATAACTGTTTTATTAGACTTGAATTTTCTACTTGAAATTTGGTTCTAGAAAGTAAATCCTATTTTTATGAATATTTCTTACAATTTACAATTTATTGAGGAAATATTTATTTTCTTATTTTTTGCAAAGCAATTTTTGTATCTGTTTATTTATAGAAAATGGAACTTATTTTCTGGATGTGTTTTGGTTTGGAATTAACATGTAATATTGAGATATTGAAAATATTGTAAAACCTAATTGTAATTTTCAGGTTTGATGTTGGAGAACGAGAGGGTGATCTTCGAGCGAATGGATGCAAAAACTCCAATGTCTAAGTACTGGATGCCTCTGGTATGGGCGACGAACATCATAAATCGAGCACGAAAGGAATCGCTCATCACCAGTGATCAGATCGTGCAGACTTTACTCACAGAACTCTCTGTGATCAGACAAAAACTGGGCTCCTTGATAGGTTACGATACAGTCTGCGTTCCATTAGTTTACACTCAAGTAAGTGCATCATATCTAAACAAATATTAAGATTAGCATAATAATTCTCTTGATGATTGTGTTTTCATCCTGGACGTAATTGGATCTCTGCGGTTTTCAATTCATGCATTTAAAATAAAAAAAGAGAGAATTAAATACAAGATGAATTTCACGATAAAGCAGACGATGATGTAATTCACGTAATCAATTGCTATTAGAATTGACAGGGAAAATACACATTTCTTCAAATTGCATGCAATATAAATTAGTTTCTTCATGCCTCGTCTATCTTTGATTTGCAAGTACAATCAATTAATGCATTACAAGTTTCGACGCAGAAGCAATTTCGTGTGAATTGAGTAGTTGATAAAGCAGATTCGACACGCTTCTTTTGTTTTCCTGATCAAACGCAATAAGATTCCATTTAGCATTACTGGCGAGGCGCAAAAACGTTTCCAAGCAATTAATCTTCCTGTTTTTCTTTTCTAAATTAAAAAGGATATGACTAAGAATGACGCGAATTGCGATTTGCATCGATTTTGTTTTCGTGTTTTCCTATACAAATTTCCTATATGCATGCGTTATGCAACAACGCAGAATTGTTGTTGCGATTTATGCAGTCGAAATGCACGATTAAATTATCCACAGTCCTTGGATCGATCCGAGAGAGAAACTTAATTTACAAAAAAAAGTTTATATTTTAACAATAATTTTAGTTAATTTTCATTATTCTTAAAAGATTTTTTTGTTTTGTTTGTTATTAGTATTTTTATTTTATTTTTGTTCGTTCACGCTTGACTGGCAAACAATGATTCCTTGCGCAATCTTTAATGCTCGGATTCGAACATGTGCGCACACCCAACAAGGAAATGACTAGAGTCATGTACAAATGAAATAACTAAATAAAAATTTAAAAAAATACACTGTAAATGGAATCAGATTGGTTGCCTTTTTTTTTCCAATTAATTAAATTGTTTAACAATTGCAGGAAATTATCTGTTGATAATTATTTCTTTAGTTATATAATAACAGTGTAATACGCAGGTGGTTTGAATTATATTTTTTATGACATATTTAGTAGAAGGAAATACTTCAGTTATTATGTTATAATTTCTGTAGATTCAAGCATTTACAAATCGTTTTGTTTATACTTTTCCATTATACATACAAATCGAATAATTGACGTATAATAAGGTTTAATAAATTATACTATAAATTAGTTCTGTATGTTGTATTTTTACTGGTTTTTTTTAGTTATCTAAAGTTAATTTCCAAACAAATGTTATTGAGGATAATTGGTGGAAATGAAACAATTCTTATGTCAATGTGATGGGCGGTTAGAATGTATAAACATTTTGAAAAGAACATATATTAATAATATATAATGCTTAAAATCAATAATTTTATATATCAGCGTTTCTCAACCTTTTTGCTATAGAAATATATTTGTTTGAAGTTCACAATGCAACTGTCAATTGTTTCTAACATAAAAAATGTGACAGCTGTCACCTTACGTCAAAGTGACAGCTGTCATTTCGCTATAACATATATGCTATATTTGTTCTATAGAAATATGTTCTATTGTAGTAGCATTAATAAATATTGTTGTTATTAAGCATACAATGTTAATATATGCAAGACTGTTTAGAAAATGTAAATTAGAAGCAGTAAAGAGAGTAAATTGATTTGAAAATGAATAAAAAGAAAAAATAAAGAAATTGCACGTGAATGCAACAAACAAGAATCAATCTCGTGGCATGCAATTCGTTTTTATTAAGCCTTGAACGCGACTCGCAAATCATTCATGCAACTATTCCAGAGTTTTCCAAACCATCATTAAAAAAAAAACTCTCTCATTAAACTCAATACGGCAATTTCTTCCTCTATTAATTTCTCTTCGTTTTTTAATGGTTCCGCGTTCCATTTCGAACGCTCAAACAAACGTACAAAAAAAACAATCGTCAGGTTATAGCTTTAACCTTCGCTTTATGTACACTTGCCGTTTCAATACGATGCTGTAAAGGGCATTGGAACGCGTAATTGCTAATTTTTCATCCGTCGATAAATCAATTCGAATGCTGGTGGGTACTTCCAGCTAAAAACCGATCGAGAATTACAACAAAAAAAAAGGCAACTCAACAGTTGTCCAAGGGCGATGCGACGTGGAAGTGAAGTGGAAAGGTCAACTTGGTTTATATATATATATAAAAAAAGAGAAACTATCCAATTGGAATTGGAATGATCATGATTTTGTGTTTTTCAAAATGTTTATAGTTTGAGTTTAATTCTGGCTTTAAAATCCGGGTTTTTGTTTCCACAGTGGTATTTTAACGAGTTTCCAATATTTTTAACAGCGATTTAATCTACCACGTAAATTCGGAGTGCGTCATTCGAATTTTTTTTTGATAATACCTGTATTCATTTTATTTGTTTCTGTGAAATTTTGTTCCATGATACAAGTTTTATTTGTTTCTATCTTTCATTTTGAAGTTCACCTTTCATGAATAGATGTCTGCAGATGTTATTTTGAACAGAGTATAATATAAAATTTAAAAAAAGGGAAATTTTTCACTTTATTTCATTGAAATCAATATCGTTAGAAATCACATTAAAGTCACATTCTTGTTTTTGGTTGGTACACCTAGTAGAATTATAGATGTTCAAGTGTAGACGAATTAGTATATTTGTAAAACGTTTAAAGTGAAAGTAGTAAAAATAATTTAAATATAATAAAATAAAGACATATAGTTTTCAATAATTATGAATAATTGTCGTTATGTATATTTTTGTATACATTTGTCTACTGTTGAAATAAACAATATTTTTATTGTTAAAATATAAGAATTTAACATCAATTGATTCTTCTTTACTTATTTGTAAACTTAGAGACTTTGGTTAATCTATAAAACTAAGAGAAATTGTTATGATGGATGGAGTTGCATATCGAATGTTTTGGTACTTTCATGCTCTGTATGCAAGAGCAACAAGACTCGCGTTTATTCTACGAAGGGAGAAAGACCGGTTCGAACAGACAAGACAATTACGAGTTTACCTTGAGAACGATTGTACTTTGACGAAATGGAGAGGAAGGAGGAGACTATTGAAAATATAATATAAAAAAAATCAGTAAAAATAGATTGATCGAAACAAGATGCAGTTTTGCTCATTTGGAGCACACATCGCCAGGAAATAATAATTCAAACACTTTCTAATTGTCCCATAGAAAGGCTATTAATTACGAAACTTTTCGTTTCAATGTTTTTTTCTGCCATTATTATCGACGCCGTTTATCTCCTTCGGTCGAAGCATTGTTTAGAAATCGAAAACGCATTTGGGTTTCTGGCACTAACAACTGCACAGCACAGCACGAGCGAGGAATATCCTTTAAAGCAACTTTCGGTTTCGCTCATATTTCTTATAATCGTTTTTTTTTGGTAGATGGAAGCCGAAGACCTTTCCCAAAAGGTTTCGACCGTAAATCGTGAGAGAGTCTTCGACCTCGAGGGCTCCATTTTTTTTTATCTTTCTGCTGCTAGCGTCGTTTGGGGGTAGGAGGACGTAAATACCGTGATTAATGCTCGAAACGAAAGTCGGTTTAGATCTGGCTTACAGTAATCAGCGGTAATACAGCGATATGTAGGTAATAAAGTTAATCGGCAAGGAAGAGATCAGAGAAAGGAGATTCTAAATATAAATCCAATTATGCCAGAAGACAAAACTGTGGTAGCTCTTTAAATAGCCTCTGGTTACAAGCTACGATCTTTAAACCAATCAACGAAAAGATTAGCGCCATCTATGCATTTCACTTTTCTGTAATGCTGTATTGCTGCAGCTAATTGAGAAATCTAATTATACTCTCTCTCCGTATTCGCGATTAATCATTGGGTTATTATTCAGAGCGCGCGGGGTTTCCTAGACTCTCTAACTCAGATCTAGAGCACCAAAGTCCATTGTTTATTCATTAGATACCATTTATCAATTATTTGCAAACATACTTATATAACTTGATTTCTATTAACCTATATATATATATACAATACAAATTCACTAATATATTCATTCTGTTCATAATCTTCAAGTTTTTGCAAGATATTCAACTATTTATTTAAACAAAATTTATTGTCACTTGATCACTTCACTTAATTCTTATATATACAGTGGAACCTCGCTTAACGAGTTTAATCAGTTCCAAAATTTTCGGATTTTCACTCATATAGTGAAACATATTCAAAAATACAAAAGTTTTAAAAATGATGTAGCAGGTGCACAATCCGGGACTTCTCTTCTCATCGTCGCTCATTTTTCGTCGAATCATTTTTTTTCAATTAATTTTGCTCGGTAAGCAAGGTTCCAATGTATTGTCTTAAGAAATAAAAAAAGTTAATATCATTATAGACTTGAAAATTTGATTACTAATAATTGACGTTTCACGATTCAATCATTATTTTTTAAACTAAATGTACAACTTTTTAATTAATCAAGTACTTAAATATTTAATGACTTATTAATCAATAGAAATTTAATAATCACACGATTATTCACTCAATTCCTAAATGAACCGATGACATGAGCCTCGCAAATGTTTACCCAGTGAGTGAATATTTATATATAGAATTTTTTTATAAAAACTTCGTACTCTTAAGTCTTTAACTTAGAGGACGCTTTCCGCTCATTAAAGTACATAAATAACATCAGATTGTTAACTATGTTCCGTGTCATTTTGCGCAACTCGAGGATGAATAATATTTGTGCCACTAAAATCATTTTTTTTTAAACTCTTCTTTAATGATGCTTTTACCAAGAAGTGTGTACACATATACCCTGATACGATCGTCTCACACGTATAATTTATTTCATTATCCGCTTTGCATCGAATCTGGTTTAGTGATGATGTTTACATTCGCACAACTGCAACCGCATACAATTTATACATTCATTAATATCTCATCATTATCATCTCATTCTCCAGCAACTTTGTTTTAATTATCTTCGTATTTTGTATATGTCAACAGTTTAATTTCTTCAAGATCAGTTCATATTAGATGATCAGATTACTCCCAAGGACTTTATTAGAAATTAAATTCCTTGGAAATGTTAACAAAACATGAATTAGAAATTGAATGAATCGTTTGTTTTTAAGTGATTAAACAAATTGGGTTAATATTATTTAAAACAAGCTTAAAAACCAAGACATAATTGTTTTAATTGTTATATTTTTGAATGGATTTAAAGAAGAAATGGCGATTAGTAAATTATTTCTAGTGCAAGGTCAATGTACGAAAAAAAATAAATGAGAACGAAACAATGAAAGGTATTGAAAATGCTAATGTTCTGATATAAATATAGCCTTCTTGATTGTATCGTGCAGAAACCTGATAATTATGGTTTTGTTCATAGTTTATTAGGTGAAGGTGGCTTTAATCTCTTAATTATTCGACACTGAATTAGAATACACTCACACACATTGTTTTTCATGGTAATTTGATTTTTTTTGGATAAATACAAGGAATTAAATTTGATTATAATCCGGAACTAAAGGTCCTCGGTCCACATGCACATACGAAACCTGTGATTATGTTATGAATTTGGTATCAAAAAAAGTTGGAATTACTTTTCATAATTTTTCTTCTTAAGTTTATCTTATGTTAATTTGAGCTATTGCATACTATTCGAGGCTAGTCTTACATAACTTTCCAATGGGTTGTAGTGTGTAATTTAAGGCTTTAGCATCATTGATAAGAATGCGGTTCGGCATAATGAGACCTTTAGAGATGTCAGAGTAAATGGAAGGCCAACGTTTAAGAGTGTTCTTTGTTTGTGTCGTTGAAGTCGTGGCTAATTGCTCTCGGAAAAGGGTCAAGTTTGACCTCTTTCAAAAGGTCTCTTGATTCACAGCAAAATCTCGTTTGTCTGGAGTTTAAAATGTAATGAATAATTATTAATATTTTCTCGTCTACCTTAAAACGTAATAAAGTTGGTCTGTTTCCAAATAATCAAGATTGGAGCCGTAATTAAAGCCCGCAGTAAACAACCATGTGGCTTATATTATTATATGATAAAAATATATTATGTATTTATTAGAAATTGGCGCAAATATTAATGTCTATAGTTGTTATAAAATTGATTATTTTTTCTTTGATTTTGATCACGTTTCTATCATAAAAGTGTTTTTGCAATAGTTTTTATCAGATGTGCAGGAATTTGAACATATAGTTTTACATGAGAGATATTTGAAAATTTACATAAGCACGCAGCACTATTAAATACATAAACTATTCTTTATTGGGCAATATTTTAATTTTAATTGGAAACGCCTTTTATAGCATCGTAAACTGATGATTGTTTTGAACAGATAGGAAGAGTTAAACTTGACATACAGGCACGATTCGTGTCCCGAAAAAAAAAGATCATTTTAATTAAAAAAAATTAAACCCAATGAAATTTTATTTATTTTCTAAATTAAAACTTCGTAAATATAAAAAAACATGAATAAACAATTGTTATACAGCGAAAATGGTAGACACAAACAATACTAACTAAAATAATAATGAAGAAAAAAAAAACGCGAAACGCGTGCATTGTGGAAAATGCAGGTTTCACTCTGTCGCATTTAATTAAAAAAAAAAAAGAACGCTGTAGAAAACTCCATTTATAATTGGTAGGAAACTTTCTTACAGGAAACACGGCATATTTTTAGATCATTAATTACTGCAAATAAATCGAGAGAGAGAGAATAAAAAAAAAGAGCGGATATCTTGTTTGTGCTTCTCCATGGAAGGACGATTTTCCCAATGTTGGATAATAATCAACGATTCGCAATGTTCGAACGAAAAAAAAATAGAACTAAAAATAAAACATACATTTATTATAGGCGATTTGTTGTTTTCACGTGGCTTTTATTATCCAATTCCAATACAAAAAAAAAAGCAATTAGGCAACTGCAGCATTTTTAAAATCTAACCTTTATTGCGAGTAAAGTTAAATATTTCGCATAGTGCGGTTCCGCTAATATCACGGACTGTTCAAAACCTGACTAATACACGGCACAAAATAGTTTGTTTTGAAATTTTCTAATCGAAATCTAATGAATCTGAATTGATTGAAGATATAATTATTATTTGTTTAGAAACTGTAATAATGTAATTATAGATGTGAAAAATTGAAGATTTGGTGGAAATTACACTGTTGTTTATTTTTTTTGTCGGTATGGAAGAATACTGGATGAGGTTTCATTAACTCGGGCCTTGAATCTCTCTGGTTATTACGCTTCGAAACTGCTTTTTTTTATTGCTTTAATCGACATGTAATTGCACGAAATGCGGAGTGCATTTTCGTCGATTTTCAAGGTAAATTACCAAATAAAAATTACACAAAATCGAGTTGCAAATACAGAAAAAAAAAACATAATTCTTATTACTTCAATTATTATTATATAACAATTGTATTTTTTTTTGTGTAAATTAATTTTAAATATCGGAACAAAATTCATTCCTAAAGAATTAAAAGTTATATGTTTTGAGTATTTTTAGAATATAAATAACGATTAATATCAGAATTGTGTATTAGAACCTATCTGCTTCAATTGCTATAAAAACTTACGTAATTGATGATTTATGTTATTTTTTTTAGGTAGTAACATTGGCACTATACACGTACTTCATAGCAGCTCTCATGGGAAGACAGTTCATACCAGATGCTCCTCAACCTGTTGGGAAATTCGAGGATCCAGACATGTATTTCCCATTTTTCACAGCTTTACAGGTAAAGTATTAACATAAAATGTGGATAGTTTTCAATTTACGAACTTTCAATTTACGAATCTTTATTTTTATCAATAAAATGATCATTTTACATTTTCGAAGGAATGAATCAATTAGTAAAGTCCTTAGTTTCAAAGTCCTTTTATTGAGAAATGATTTAATTTGTTTTTATTTTTCAAAACTTGTGCTAAATGGTTCACGATAATTTTATATGAACAATAATTATAATGATATTGATGAATTATTTTCTATAATTTAAATGTCAGACAAATAATTATCAATAATTTGATCAATTGTTTTCGTACTCTTATTTGTCTCAAAAATAAAGCGGTTTCTGGCAAAACACGAGGTCGCTTTCTCATTTGCATATTAATTCCAAGAAATCTTTCACTACAGAAGTCGGTATAATTGTGATCCAATATCTTAAACTCAGTCATGTTTTTTCTTAAAAAATATATAAATAATTTGCGTAACAACATCACTTGCGGATTATCCAATGAAGAAATAAATAGATGTGATTGCCAAGAAATCACTATCGATCAATAGAATCTTGGAAATACCGAAGATTTATATAATAATTACACTATTATTATTATTATTAATTGTGTATTCTAATTTCAGTTCTGTTTTTACGTGGGATGGCTGAAAGTTGCCGAAGTGCTGATCAATCCCTTCGGTGAAGACGACGACGACATTGAGCTGAATTGGCTCATCGACAGGCACATCAAGGTGAGATAAACTCAAATTCAAATCATAGGAAACGACTATCATTATCATCAATCAAATTCGCACGGAAATTTCATGCGAAAAAAAAAAATAATATGCGAGAATTCGAGGCGAAGAAACAAAGAGACCGCGCTCTCTAGGACATCAAACATTTGCGTTACGTAATGTTTGGTTTGATTACGTTAAACCAACGACAAAAAAAAATATATGATAAATAAATATTGTGGCGAAAAAAAGTAATTTACCGTCGCTCTTCGGGGAAATCGCGAATTTTAATTCAATTTCAAAGACAATTCGAGGGCAAACCCGAAATTTCATTAGTGTTTGTGTTTTTTTTTTGGTTGATGTTCGCAAGGTTTATTTAAAAATTTGCAAGGCGGTATTGTATAAGTAGTTTTTAATAACGTAATCCTGTGATTATTTTTGTATATTTGTTTATGTATGTAGAAGAGCGTAGATTAGAATTTTTATAAGGTCAAGATTACAGTGTGAATCACAGATTTTATCATGCAAATTTTTCAATAATCTAGTATTATCGATTTAATACAAACTGTTATAAACTTAATAGAAAAAAAAATGTGGCAAAACATAATAGTAATGCTTCTTTTATGACACTTCTTACGTAAGTTGACAGAAGATGCTGTGAAAAAATCTGTAATTATTCTACTAAGTCGTCTCTATTATTTTTTTAGTAATAACTAAATGTTCAAGGGAGAATACAGTATTGATGAAATATACTAAAATTTAAAATAAGAAGATAAAATAATGTAGTTTAAAAGTCTATCGAAGGTCAAATTTATATTATTAAATTTTGTTTTGTTTTTGCAGAACATGCATTATTTATTCGATTTTATACATAATTTCAAAGAATTTAGAATAATGTTAAAAAAAACTACAAAAGAATAAATTTATTGTCTCAACGTGATTATATAAATAATGCTAGTTTCTTTAATCTGTAAAATAGTTGTATGTAGCCAATTGCAACTTGTATAGACTTAAACTTAATTGCACTACAATTGCACTAAACAAATGATGGATTGAAGTGTAGATTTTACATATTAACTTTATTTATTCTTCAGCAATGGATATGTATGTTCTTATATAATATTGATTGACTAGAGAGTAATTATGTTTATTATGGTGTTTACTAGGAGATTCGAAATGTTATGCAAATGACTATAATTTAAACTTTTTGACATTGAGATAAATCATTGTCCGAGGCGGAGGCGCGTGGGCAAATTCATTGTATTCCATTCATGGTAAATATGTACGCGAAGCCGCACCGAAAAATATAAATAAATAAATAAAATAGATGCAAAATGTTGGCGGTTTCGTCAGTATGCCAATAAGCCGTTCCTATTTTCGATCCGATCGTGTGACACATTATAACAGTACACGAACGCAAATCGTTTACATTTGCGATTTGTATTCACGTCGGCTGCTTCATAATTAGTATTGTTTATGGATAAAAGTGCCACGGACGCGAACGTATTTTTATTTGTTGCTGTTTTTATATACTTTTAACAGTCGCAGTTAAAGCGAAAAACTGATGCAAATAGAATTGCATAAGTTCTGCTTCTTGTTTCTCATATTCACAATGATTGTATTGTTAGTAATTGAGAAGTTTTAACATTTCATTTTATTTTGCAGGCTAGTTACATGATCGTCGATGAAATGCACGAGGAGCATCCGGAATTGTTGAAGGATCAGTTCTGGGATGATGTCGTCCCCACAGATCTTCCTTATACCGTGGCTTCGGAGCACTGCAGAAGGGAAGAACCTAAAGGTTCTGCTGAGAAGTATAAGGTGAAGACGGCGGACGCTTTGTACGCTAATCTTCAGGTTCCTTCCAGGAAGATCATTATTGACGATATGTACGCAGATTACGTAAGTATCGCAGTTATATTTGTATTTAAGAAAAAAAGTTTTTAAATGTTCATTTAATAATTAAAAAACAAAATCTGCTTCTTGATGACGTATTTGTGTAGTTGGGTGTGTAAAGTAAAGAAGAAAAATAAGGTCATAAGTTATGCCAAATGCGTATGTGGAAAATGCTGTGGGAGAGACTAATGAATTGTGATGTTGTAATTTTAGGAGAGCGTGGACACGCCGATCGTTCAAAGGCGGAAGAGTCCAAGTTGGATCAATAGGATTTCGATATCGAGGCCACGCGGATCCGTTAGATCCGCCTCTACTGCGTACTCTTCAGGTGGTCTCTTCTCGAGGCACAGAGGGAACTCGGTATACGCGGAAACAGCAGGACAACTGCCTCATCAGCAGCAGCCGAAAATGTCCATTTACGATAGGCTGGTCAGAAGGTCGGGTCGCAACAAGAATCATACGAAAACAGGTAAGGATTGAGCTCTGACGATACACGACAAGTTTATATTTAATACGTTTCAATTGCAGTTAAGAGTCGACCGAGGATTCCAACGCCTGACGTGACCAAGGAAGTGGTGGACAGGGAGAACCGTTTGGCGCAGAACGCTGTACACATGCAGAATCAAATTTCGCCAAATGTTACATTGATGGCGCATCAGCTGCAAGGAGCTTGTCCTAATGATGTTCCGATGGTGCAGGTGGTGTTGTCACCTATACAAGAGCTCGATGGAAGCGGTTCTGTTAACAACACTTTGCATGCCGGGCAACCTGGAACAGCTGCTTTAGCTCAAGCCGTTCTTTCGCCAGGTTTAGGTCCTGTGTTGACTAAGCCAATAACTGTCTCGCAGTTAACTAGTTTAGGTTTAGCTAAAGTCACGAGTAGTCCGCTTCTGACTAAAGCAGTTGCTATCAATTCGAGTCCGCTCTTCGCTAGAGCCGTAGCTGACACCTCTCAGCCCTCCACTCTGATAGAGTACACGCCCGAGGGTTTGGTCAAGGTCACGAAGAGTCCTCTTTTACAAGGTGCGGATTCGTTACATGACAGTCCGTCCTCCGGGAAAGCTCTCACGGACGACGGATACACTTCAGATGGTTTGACCAAAGTCACCAACAGTCCTCTGTTCACCGGCGTCGATCAATCCTGCATGCTAGCAGAGTATACTTCAGATGATGAGATGAAGCAGAATATCAGCAGCAGGAGCAGCAACGCTTCGAATCACACGAACGCTTCGAACGACACGAAGGAGGCCACCGATACCACGGCCTCCCTCACATCCAACGGAATCGGAATCGAATCCGAGAGGAAGATATCCATGAACACGCCGAGTACATTATCCAGTCCGCACTTGGAGTTTCTGAGCTCACCGAGCGACAACGCCAGCAGGAAGACCTCGGTGGCCTCGCAGAGTTCATCACCGAAACGCGAAGTGTACGTTTGATGAACGTCCAACTCTAGTTTCATGCGATATATAGTGATATATGTAATTGTGTTTTTGTGATATTTTAGATTTTACATTGTTATTAAGTTATAAATATCCTCCCCTACTACCCCTTGACTATATTCTTCACCACAAAACGAATTGCGCTGAAAGTTGGCTATGAATCGACCAAAACTATTATCCACCGACCAACAAACTTGATAAAACTCAATGATGATCAAGACAAGATTATATAACAATAAGATTCCTACTTTCTACTTGATCATGATCATAACAATCCTAAAGTAAATCTTCTGTTGATATATACAAAATTAGAAATGCGATTGTTTGGGTTTGATTGTAATGTGATGCTTTTGCATTTTATGTTAAAATGTGCGGAACGTATTATTTTATTGGGATAGCGCAATTTCACTGTAAATATTAAATATTAATATTTGTTTCTATATATTCTTTGTTTTTTTTGTAATTCGACTTGAATTTTAATATTTTGTAAATATTGAATTAATTGTTTTCATTTGTATCTCTTTCCTTCATTGTTCTCTTTTTCTCTCTTTATTTTGGGTGTAAGATGGTTATTATTTTTTACGTTTCTTTTTCCTTTTTTTTTACATTAATTAACTATTTTTTTATATATATATTATTCTAGTGCATATGAAAAAAAAATATGATTACAACTATTTTAGTCCCATTGTATATATTTATATATTATATTATATTTGATGACTATTTGTTATTAAAAATAATTTATTGGAGTTTTGTTGTAATTATTGTTTATCCTTAATCGTGTTTTACTTTAATTGTTAATAAGTACATTTTTTTTGTATTTTAAACTCCTTATAGTATATTATACAACAGTTATCTTATATCTTGTTAAACATCTTTGTTTATTTACAAGATATCATGAAAACTTCAGTGAATTCTAGATATAAGTCAATAGTTTTATTAAAACGTGACAACTATTAACAATATATTTATTATTTTCATACCTCTAACAACAATTATTTCCAATAACAATAATAATTTATTGGCCAGACATCAATACAAAAAAAAAGTACATTCTATAAATAAGTAATGAGAGGAAAAAAAAGCAGCGGAGTAGGAACAAGTAGGTATCAATCAAGAGATATTATGTATTGGAATAGGGATAATGTGGGATATTTAAATTTGGGAAAGATATTTGGGTTTCGAGGGGCACAGAATTTAGAGAGGGATTTAGCTATGTTGGATTGTTTGGATTTAAATTTCAAGAAGAGGGAAAGGTACCGGTCGAGGAGAGGAACTATTTTGGTTTTGGAGTAAAGGATATCATAAGAAGGATTGTGTAGAGGATTGTTAGGAAGTTAAATTTTGGTGAGGATACGAAGGGCAGGACGTTCGGATACGGACGGTTTTAGGACATTATTTAACGTAACATGGGGAGACAAAAGGGATATCCGATGGTAGGGAATAAGGAGTTTGGTCTTGGATGGGTTAAATTTGAGGCGCCATTTTTTTAAACCATAAAATGGTCGAGGATAGGAGGTTTTAAAGGTTAAGAATAGAGGATTTCATATACTATGAAATCATTTATGCTGTTAATAATTGCTATATTATAATTTGGTGAAAGGTTTCTTAACATTATTTAAAGTAGTACGTATATTTTTCTTTTAGTAGTATTTCGATAGATTAACTTCAGTCTGATTTCAACAAACTTTCAATTAAAGTATTTTTCTATCAAAATTATTTCAGTACTGTTACTAAGTAGACCTTCTTTTTACAATACCAATTCATGACTACCTTGGTTTGATTATTAATTACTTCATCAAAATACTTGCATTAACAGAAGTTACTTGACAAGTATATTGTATTAAGCATGATTAAGGTATTTCAGAAGGCGTGGGAAATCAATGTAGTGTCATCAGCGTATTGAAGGACATAGAGGTTGGGATCGAATGTATTAGGATCGGGGCTATACATATCACAACAAAAAAGATTATATAACAGAGGAGTTAGAGGGGAGCCTTGCGGGACACCCTGAAGCAGGGAAAAGGAACTGGAGAAGGAGTTGCGGATCTTAACTTTAAGGAAACGATTATTTAAGAGGTTTTTGATGGTGCTGATGAGGTAAGGTGGGAGATTTGTAAGGAAAAGTTTATAAAAGAAACCCCGATGTCTGGCCAATAAATTATTATTATTGGAAATAATTGTTGTTAGAGGTATGAAAATACCATTATTTCCATTTCTTGTTATAATTGATTTGTTTGAATAAAACATATCCTTCTTCCTAAATACATTGAACATTTTACTAATGAAGTTATTTGTTATTTACACAAAAAAAAAATAGGTAACAAGTATTCTCAAAGACTAATTGTAAATTAAATTCGTCATAAAAATAACTGATTAAATTATCATAATAGATGAACGTCTTATTTTTAATTGACATTTAATTGAAATAAACTTTATTAAAAAATATATCAAGCAATTATAATGTATCAATTAAATCATCTTAGAAATGTCAATTAAAGTTGAAGTTGTCAAACAATGATTGATATCTTTCTAATAAGTAAAAATTGCATTTAAATAATAAATACAAATTATTGACTAACTATGTTTATTTACTAACTTGAATAATGCAACATGAATACATAAATATTCATTTGAGATGAACAAATTCGAGTGGTTTGCAGAATTTATATGCGTTATTTGATACACGGTATGTAGAATGCAGTGTGTAGCTTCCTTAATACGAATCTTGAAGATTCGGATCCGGAATGCGGAGAATCCAGAAGAAAACTAGGAATCATTGCCATCAGGCAGGTATGAAAGCGCAACGTTTTATTTTTGTGTGTGAAAAAGTGGCAGTCGTTAATTCGAATGAATACTGGGATATATATCTCATCAATTAGAGAAAAAGCGTCCATTCATGGAAGACCGTAACAAATGCGTTTCGCTTTCAGAGCGGATATCAGAAAAATAAGGAAATTAAGTTAGTGAAGTTACAGAGAGAACATGGGGGAGCTAAAAGGAGGTGAATCATACGCAAAAGAATTTCTAATTGAATTTGCTTGTTTGGAGTGAAAAGTTGCGCAAATGTATTAAGCAATTAGGGTGGTATTGTGCGAGCCGAGAGCGAGTGTGTGCAAGCATGCATCTGTTTGCGTCTGTATGTATGTATATGGTGAAGCCTCACTGCGTTTGTATTGGTAATGTATTTGTTTGTGTATGTATGTATGTGTATGCCGGTTTTGAACTATGCAAGCAAGTTGGGATCATTTTTCATTGCGCATTCTGCGGCTCCGCGGCCTGGGCAATTAGATTTCAATAAAAACACCGTCCGTCTAATTGTGCAATTACTTGTATAAATCACGCCAAATTGTCTACTATTAATGTCTAAATGGGATAATACATTGCACGCACCGCGACCATACATAATATTTGCATTCAGGTTGTGCAAAAAAAAACCCTCCCTCCCTTCACCCGCTCTTAATTGGTTATGCATAGTTGAGCGGACAACGAAATCGGCGGAAGGACGGCCGGACTGGACGAACGTGAGGAAGATACGCGCGGCAAAATTGTAAAAATCGTAAAGAGAACAGAACGTAGAAGAACGCGGCGCGCTAATGAATGTCAATTACGTGGAATTAAAACGTTCTTCATTATCGTAATAATTAATTAAAGCGAATTTGTTGCAACGTTTTGTCTTTATTAAACAGTTACTAAGAACAGATAAAGGTAATTTCCATTCAATATATTTCGTATAATTAACATTGCTGCCATCTACATTTATTCGTTGCATTATGCTACAAATATATTGAATGAAATATGTCAATAGCTTAACCAAAACTCATTACCAATTTAATTTCAAAGAAAGTAATCATATTTCTATATTAATTAATCAAGATATCTAAGAATTAGAAATGTCAATTATGAGAAATTAAATGTTTTTGTATAATTAAATTTGCAACATTACTACCATCTACTTTCAAGAAAAATAATCATATTTTTCTATTAATTGATCAAGATACCTAAGAAATAGAATTATCAATTATGTGAATTTAAAACGTTAAAACTTTATTAAACAATTACTAACAATAAATAAAACTAATTTTTACTGTAAAATTAAATCAGAAATATTGCTGTCATCTATATTTATTTGATTCCATACTGATTACATAGTTAAAGTTGGTAATACTTGATAATACTGGTAGTACATAGTTGGTAAGACTTTAACTATGTAATCAGTATGGAATGTCAATTAGTTCTTCATTAACGTAATTATTAATTAAAAGAATTTTATTTCTAATTTTTTTTTGTTAATAATAGTAATATTATCAATTTAATTTAAACGTGTTATATAATTTACAAAACGGTTGCCAACTGTAAAGTGTTTAACAAAATTTTCCTATGCCATTATAATTTGTACATTAATTAATCAAAGTATCTTTGAAATAAAAAAAACACATCGATTACAGTTGAAGCCAAAACCCATTACCAACTTAATTTCAAAGAAAGTAATCATATTTCTCTATTAATTAATCAAGATATTTAAGAAATAGAAATGTCAATTATGAGAACTTAAATGTTCTTGATTATCGTAAGAATAAATTAATAACGAATTACTTTAGTCTTTATACATTTTGTATAATTAAATTTGCAAAATTACTGCCATCTACTTTCAAGATAAGTAATCATATTTTTTTATTAATTGATCAAGATACCTAAGAAATAGAAATGTCAATTATGTGAATTGAAGGTTTTTATTTTTTAATTAGTTAAATTGAATTTATTGCAAAGTTTTCTCTTTATTAAACAGTTAAATAAAACTATTTTTTACTATACAATTAAATCAGAAATATTGCTGTCATCTATATTTATTTGTAACAATACTTAATTCAAAAATAAAAATCAATAGATTAAACAAAAAGTATTACCAACTTTAAATTAACTATGTAATCAGTTTGGAATGTCAATTAGTTCTTCATTAACGTAATTATTAATTAAAACAATTTTGTTACTAATTTTTTTTGTTAATAATAGTAATATTATCAATTTAATTTAAATGTGTTATATAATTTACAAAACGGTTGCCAACTGTAAAGTGTTTAACAAAATTTTCCTATGCTATTATAATTTGTACATTAATTAATCATAGTATCTTAGAAATAAAAAAAAACACATTGATTACAGTTGAAGTTGTCAAAAAAAAATAAGATTGCATGCTTTTGGTAATTATTATATTTAGTTAATTAATACAGATTAAAATTTAAATAATTTAAAATTGCAGCGAAATTACTTGAAGGAAATACTGTCAATAGCTTAACCAAAACCCATTACCAACTTAATTTCAAAGAAAGTAATCAAATTTCTCTATTAATTAATGAAGATATCTAAGAATTAGAAATGTCAATTATGAGAAATTAAA